TCATAATTATTGTGAGACTGTATCACAGCAAAAATATCTAATAATTACAGAACCACAACAGAAACACCTGATAATTACTGTGTCACAATAGAAATGCCTGATAATTACTGCATCACAATAGAATTGCCCAATAATTACTGCATCACAACAGAAATGCCAGATAATTTCTGCGTCACAATAGAAATGCCTGATAATTACTGCATCACAACAGAATTGCCTGATAATTACTACATCACAACAGAAACACCAAATAATTACTGTCACAATAGAAATGCCTGATAATTATGGAACCGCAATAGAATTGCCTGATAATTACTGTCACAATGGAAATGCCTAATAATTATGGAATCGCAATCGTAAGGACTGATAATTACTGGATCACAATAGAATTTCCTGATAATTACTACGTCACAACAGAATTGCCTGATAAATACTGCATCACAATAGTATTGCACGATAATTACTGTATCATGAAAGATACATGATGTCCCATTAGATTATCACTTGCTTTGATAATTAGAAAAGGAGACAAGCTGTGGTACAGAGGAATGTATACACAGAGAACATTAAACAAATATATACACAAGATCATTTACATCTTAGTTTTATTATCAGTAAGTCATCAAAGGAGCTTGAAACAAACATCAGGAATCTGGGGTAAAAAATAACGCAAGATAACCATAAAGCAACAAGTAAATATACCAGAGGAATTCATTATGTAATTAATCAAAATGTCATAGAAAGCAGATAATGAGTACAAATATTAACAGCCTAATTAACTTTTATAAAAATGAAAGTAACAGAAAGAACAAAGTAATCAATAAAAATGAAAGATATAAGCTTCCCAAGATAAAAGGACTTTGCCGAAAAAACTCACAAGAACATTCCTCTTTCTATCAAGTTCTTTCTGATGATGATGGCATTTCACAAATTCATTTTCTTTACGATGTGTATATTATCATGATTGCTCTTGGAAAAAGTATTTCTCATTATTTTCTTCATGATGCTGACTTAAAAAAAATCATTCTTCCCCTAGACTGGTTGCCATTGAAGGCTACACTGTAAAGTTTGTTCTGCTATTTTATCCATAGCTAGGGAAGAATAGATTCATGTCTTTTCCAAGGCCATTAGAATAAAATGAACACAAACTGTCCCAACCAAAATTTGAACTTTCATTTTTTGTGTTGGTAATTGTTTGCCTACTTTCAGCACCTCACAAAAATTTATAGCTTCTAAAATGAACAAAGAAATTTATTTAAAAAAATTCTAAAACGTTTTTTGTTTTTGGCATAAAAGTGTCATCAAAAATTCTTGGTGGCAAAAAGAAAAGCCAAATAATTTTTCACAAGAAAATTCAGATAATTTTTCTTTCATACCCATTTCTGTCTTTCTACATTCTATATTTCTTTTCTTTTTTTCATCCTTCCTTCTTTCTTTCTTTCTACCTTTCTATTTTCCTTACTTCTTCCTTCTTTTTTCCTTTCCTTTCTTCTTTACACTTTTACTTTCTTTCTTTTTTCATACATTATTTCTTCTATCCTTCATTGTTTAACTTGTTTTAATTCTTGCAATTTTTGTTTGTTTGTTTCTTTTTTCTGCATTCTTCTTTCCTTTTATCTTTCTTTTTTCCTTTCCAATTTCTTTCATTCTCTATTTTCTCCTACATTCTTTCTTCCTCTTTCCTTCTTTTTTCTCCCTTCTTTCATTCTTCCTTGTTTGTTTTCCTTTCTTTTTTCTGCATTCATTCATTCTTTCTTTGTTTATTTTTTTTCTGAATCCTTTGTCCTTTTCTTCTTTTTGCTTTCTTTCTCCGTTTTTTTCTTTTTTCTGTATCCTTCCTTCTACCTTTCTTTGATTTTCTACATTCTTGCTTTTCAAAAAAGTGTTTTTGTCTATCTCTAAATTCTTCAAACATATTTTTTCACACATTTCTTCCATCTTTTCATAATTTCTTTCTCTTTCTTTCATAATTTTCTTTCTGTTCCTTTTGGTTTTCCTTTCACACTTCCTTTCTTTCATTATTGCTATTCTTCTCTCAGTCATTTCTTTTATTCATCAATTAGGTCATTCTGAAAGTAAGGACAGTTTTTTTTGGAGAAGGGATAAAGACCAATTCATATGTAGTAGTAAATGTTAAATTTATTTGTCAAAAACAATCTTTTTTGATTTATTGTTTAAAGAATATGGGATTCTGGAAGAAATGCATTCTGATATTACGGAATTATTCTCTCAGCTACTTTTAAAAATTTTGTCAATAGGAAATATGGTGATCTTTCCCCTGATCTGGCATCTCGTTTACAGTTGCTCTCTCACAGACATGCCATTGCCTCCCTCTGTCTTTTCTACAAATACTTTTATGGTAACTGCTCCAACCAGCTACTTTCACTAGTTCCCAAACTGCATGAATTTAAACATGCCACTAGGTCGGCATCTCAGTCCCACCCTTTCACTTTCAAAACTGTTTAATGTAGCAGTTTCTTATACTCCAATAACTTCATGTCTCACACTTCCCATCTGTGGAACTCCCTTCCTTTTACTTGCTTCCCTGATAGCTATAATCTCCAACTATTCAAATGCAATGTCAATCGACATCTCCAGATGCCTTGATCTATTCCCTGTCCTTCTCTTCATCCTTTTTTCTTTCACCCCTCTTTACTCTTGTCGCCACTCTCTGTAACCCCTTGTGTGCTAGTGGCACTCCTGCCTTGCTTGGGGTGAAAAGCTTAAAAAAAAAAGAACTAAACTGATTGTGTTTGAAGGATGTGGCAAAATAAACAAATTAACAATGTGAGATTATTTTATTGAGTGTGAACTTGTATTTTTATTTTGAAGGCTGTCACACTTTCTGTTGAACAAAACTGGATATTTTTTGTAAAGATCTTTCTTCTGTAATGGCGGCCTTAACCTTAACTCAAAAAAAACGTGGAATTGACAAAACAATAAATGGAGATAAGACATGGTTGGGATAAGTAAAAGAGGTTTTATTTCCCATGATTTACAACGTTTGATCATTTGCTTGTTCTGGGGTGTTGTATATTGTGAAAGACTGAGAGTTCATTCAGGTTATAACACAAGGTTGTAGTCATGTGGAAGAAGTCATCATACATATATTGTCAAGTGAGATAGACTCATCAGGGAAACATTCCATGAATTATCACATTCTAATAGTCAGCTGCTGATGGTTTTCATTGCTGACTAACTGCATCACTGTTGATGGAAGTGCCTTGATATTGTTGTTGCTGGCCAGCATCGCCATGTACTTTGCCATGCTTAGGTAAGTTGCTTACTGTAGGGGTCTATTGCTAATGCCAGCTGTCAGATCTGCCTTCCTGGGTGGAATTGGTGAAGTTTAGTAAGTGGTACAGAAATGGCTGCTGCCAAAACTGCATGGGTCTTTCTCTGAATGATCAGAAATTATATTTTATTACCCTGGTATTTTGGGCTAGTATTCCAGAATTGGGTACACAGAGCTGGATGAAATTAAGTTCTGTTTTTGTCATACAAGTTATGGATGTCCAAGTGAGCACTTCTGTTTTATTGATTTACATTATGTGAATAAATGCAAATTGACATTCTCAGTATGTGACTTAATCCCAATTAGTCATATGCCTCAAGGCAGGAAGCCATTGAACATGTGTTGCAGATTTGAATCAACCCACAACAAAGAAAAAGACAAAAGAGGTATTTAAATATAAAAATATAAGATATTTTTATTTTAGGGTTTTTACAACTAAATATTTTTTAGCTTTTAAAATGTTAAAGTGCTTACAGTCCTTGTTAGTAGTTGTTTGTTATTTGTTGTTTGTTTTGATGAAAAAAATGTGATTTTTTTGCATGTATGTGTGAGAAAGAAGAGGTAAGAGAGAAAGTGAGGAGGAAAGTGTAAGTGTCATGTAGCTAGGTGAGGAAGACAAGTGAATGAATAAGGGAATTTCTTCTAAGCCAAGCATCATGAAATGTTGCTATCTGTTGCTGTCTGTCTCTCCTTCATGGTTTGTCCATCTAAAAACTTTGCTTAGTCTTCAAAGAGATCATGATGAATGTTTTTTTTTTTTTTATTGTTGGTGGGAATGCAACCTGTTGGTTGAAAATGTTGAATATTTATTTTCAAAGCATTAATTTATTAGCCAGAAGAATGCGTAATCCTCTGACTCAGAAATCATTTTTTGTCATTTGGTGTTTATTTCACTCTTTGCTCCACATGTGTGTATTGGGACTGGCTCATTGGAATGTATTGTTCTGATTACTGGCTTGGAAGATTTAGATATTCTGGAATAGTGAAATATTACTGATGGAATTGATGCCTCAGGAGTTAGTCTTTTCTCTGCATGAATCTGATAATCCCTCTGCCTTTCAATCACCATCTGAACTCTTCATACCTGCTTCTGTTATCAATAAGATGATCTGTAAGAGAATGCTGTAAGCCTGGGAACTCTAAGTCTTTAATGAAGGGGAATATGTAGTATTTTGAATGCTCATACATCCTCTGACATATTTTAATTATCTCCCTTGAATTTCTATCACTAACCTTCCTTCATTGTCACTCACCTGTTATATAAAAGGAAGCCATCTTGTTTGTTCATTAAAGCCTTTGTAAAAGTCCCATGTCTTCTCATCATTTTACCATCAATAAAAAAGAAGTCGCAAGTGGCAAAACCTACCATCTTCCAGCATATACATACTTAGCCTTCAAGAGTTGAGATGAGGACATTTTGGATTGGGCGATTGATTGTTGGTTATTTTGTAAGGTTTAACAATCTTTGCAGGTTAATTAAAGCCAGAAAATATTTTTAGATTGTAAGAATATTTTTGAGATAATAATGATTTACTGACACAAGTCTAATTTATTAATATATAGCTGGGGGAGAAGAGGTGGATTCATACCTTTCCCCAAGGGTATTTACACGTAGGTGAATTCAATGAAACCAACTGGAATTGGAACTTTGCTCTTCAATTTCTAATTCCAAGCCATTATCCATAACAACACCTGCACATCCAAGCTTACAGCACCTGGTATTCCCAAGCAGTCACCCATCTAGGTACTGACAAGACTAAATGTTGCTTAACTTTGGTGATCATATGAGAATTTGTATTTCAATGTGATATGGCCATAAGCCCTGTTGACCAGTATTTTTCATCTTTCGATAAGACATAACTTGTTTCAAAATTAGTTTTTTTGCCAATGCTAATGATGATTGGATATGAAAGTAGTGGCAAAAAAAAAAAAAAGATATGGAATCAGCAAGCAGATTCATTCTTTTCCCAAGGGCATTAGTGTAAAGTGAATGCATCAGACCCAGCTGGAATTCCAGCTGAGTCTGATGCATTCACTTCCCACTAATGCCCTTGGGAAAAGAATGAATCCATCTCTTTGTCACTCAGGGTGTTTTTTAAAATACTTTTTGGTCATTTATACTTCAGTTGAGGATATAGAAACAGCATAAATTATTGATAGAGAAAGTAGAGTTCAAAGTGCAGAGCAAGCTGAGTTCAAATTCCAGGTTAGTTTGTTGTGTTCACTTTTGTACTAATGCCTTTAGGAAAGACATGTACATATCTTCTCCCACTAGCTATAGGTTAAATAGCAGAGTAGACTGGATTCTCTAGCTTTGGTTGGCAACCAATCTAAAATGACTACTCTGAATCCAAAAGCATTGAGAAAGCAACATGGAGGCAACTCCACTATCTTTCCCAAGAAATTATCACAATTCAGAGATATTTTTAAAAAAAAGGAAGCTATGAAGAGATAAGATCACTCATGTCCAGAACGGATATGGCATTTAAAAACAATAATGATGATTATATTCTTAACAATTAAATTAACATTTGTCATATTTGAATGGGTCATATTCCGTAATGAAAAGTTCAATTTTATATACTGAATAACTAGTTATATTTATTAATTTTGCCTAATATGTTCATTTTAAGTTTTACTTGGTTTTTATTGCAACTTACTCTGATCAACAGGAGGAAGCAAAAAGCATGGATTAGAAATAATTGTTTGATAATTACTGCATCACAATAGAATTGCTTGATAAACTACTGGTGAAACTCACATTGATATTCTTTTTGCCTTAAGGAAGTCCAATTAACCATACCAGCTGTTCTTATGATCTGAGCTACTGGGAATTTTATGGTTAGCATAAAATCAAATGTAACTCATTAAACCCACACCTCACTCTTCTCACTCTCTCTCTATCTCTTCCTCAATATCATAGGGATTTTTACACTAGTATTTATAGTGGAATGTTTGGGTATTGTAACAGATATTGGAAGTAGAATTAGCACACCAAGTTCAAATTCTAGTCAAGTCTCTTACCTTTACTTTTACACAAATGCCATTAGGAAAGGCAAGAACCCCTTTATCATTCACCACTATAGGTTAGATAGTAGTGTAAACTGGGCTATCTAGCCTTGGCTAGCAAACATGGAGGAAAACTCTCATTTCCAAACTGTGAAGAAATCAATGAGAGACCATTCTACTATATTTTTCAAGAAAATTCAGATAATAAAAAAGGGAAGCTGTGGAGAGCTATGATTGTCTTCATCCTGAAAGGACATGACACTAAGAAAAAAAAAATGTATTAGTAGCACCAGGGTGGGTGCAAGGGTATTGTGCCAGCCCCCAATCTATTATACCCCCTCACCATCTTTGAAACAGGACCTCCACTCTACTACATCTCAATATTCATAAAGGTTGTATTCAGAGAAAATACAAATTTTATTGTAACCTAATTACATACAATAATGGATCATAGGCAATATAGGTGAACAATTCAACTAGAAAAATTGAAAATAAATACAATCTATCTATTTACAAATTAGAGATATATGATAATAGATCATTCCATCTTAAATAAATCAACAATGTTTTGTGGCTAATTTTTTTTTACATCAACTTGAGAATGTGAATGTGGCCATGTTTGTTTTTCAAGGCCTCATTACCCAGAAACGGCGTCATAGAAAGACCAATGTCTACCAATGAGACATCCAACTTGATTTCTCTTACAGCTTAATTACTCTTAATTTTCTTGAGTAACAAAGTTTGTAAGTCAGCCAGCATTCAAGAAAGCCAAACTGCTGCAGGAAAACTAATATGCAATAAACGTGGTCTGACATGCAAATCTCGTGCAGGTCAAGGAGCCACACTGAGACAAGATGTTCAAACATACAGTGTCGATGTAAGGGTCTCATACCCTCTCCTCAGATCTATAATATCTCCACTTTACTATATCTAAATTTTCACAAGATAGTATTCATAGAAAATACACATTTTATTGTAACCTAATTATGTACAATAATGGATCATATGCAATATAGGTGAAAAATTCAATTAGAAAAATTGAAAATAAATATAATCTATTTACAAATTAGAGATATATCATAATAGATCATTCCATCTTAAATAAATCAACAACATGGCAAAAATTTTTCATCCTTTAATAGTCAGTTCTACTGAGTTTAATTTTTAATGTATATAAATGTAGGTAGAAAAAAAGCAAAGGTTGATAAGATAGGGAGGGTCACGAAGCACTGCCCGTGGGGCCCCAGGTCAGACTTGCCCCACTCTGTCAGTGGGGTGGGTTAGAGTAATACACATTGGCCTTGAGTATCATCAATATCAGCTTTATTTATTTTTTATTTTTAGATGAAGCATTGTCCAACATTTTTATTATTATTATTACTTTAACTAGAATTTTCTTTGATTTTAATTTTTACTTACTTTTTATTGCAATTTATTCAGGTTATCAGTCTGTATCAGTGAGTAAGCAGAATTTGAAAAAAATTGGGGGGAAAATGAACAGTAGCTTTAAAATTTTAATTTCTTCTTCTGCAGAGTTCGCTGTAGCTCAGATGCACAAGAGCAGCTGATAGATTTAACCAAATTTCCATGAGGCAAAGGAGACATGAATTTGAACCTCACTGGGTGCTTATCTTTTAGTATTTCTTACATACACTGTTTACTCACTGTTATATATAGTAAGATAAAATTAAATACCAGTCTAAATTAATTATTAAAATAATAATAATAATCTTTGACTATTTTCCATTTTTTTTTTACAATTATGTTCACTTTCTACAAGGCCCAAAAGCCACTCAAGGTAGAGTGTTACAGAGTAAAAGGCACAGTTTATGTAGGTATGTGGGGAAGATAAGGGTTAACTCTAGACTTAAACAGGTTAATATTGTAATGATCAGGAAAACATCCTCTTGGGAGTCAGTTCCACAAAGCAACAGTTCAAGGGAAGAAGCTGCTTGAGTGGAATTTTTTTTTTATTGTAGTGTTCACTCTGTACAATGCCCAAGGGCCACTCAAGGTAGAGGGTTACAGAGTAAGAGGTATGATTTCTGCGGATTTGTAGGGAAGATAACAGTGAATCTTAGATTTGAGCAGGTTCAGATTGTTCTGATGAGGGAAGCAGCCTCTTGGGAATTGGTTCCACAAGGCAGTAGTCCATGGGAAAAGGTGCTTAAATGGAACTCAGCAGCAGGATATGAAGGGAATGAGGGTGGTTCACTACAAGGTATATGGCATAGTGAGGTTTAGCTGTGAAGGTTAGAACTGAGGTAACTAAAGAATATAGTTTGTTAGAACACTTCCCATGGAAATAGTGATAAAGCAGTGAGAAGCTTACAATATTCTTTCGTCTATGGGCAAGTAGTTGTAGGGTGGAAAATAATTCTAAAAATAAATATAATAATAATAATAATAATGTTGTACCCTAATATCTCTTCAGATGATTAGATTATCCAACCTTCTTTTTTATTTGTCCATATTTCATTATTCGTTCCCTTGAGCGTCTTCCAATTTTATCCTGTCCTTTCTATCAATTTCCCACTTAGCACTTCTTTTCCGTTTTTTTTTCTCACCCTGATTATCTGTTATTCCTCACAATCCACCCCTTTAATTTATCCACTATTCCATCTTCCCTTTCCTTGCCCCACTCATGCATGAGTCAATATATTCGTCTCCATCTTGTTTCTTCCCACCCACCAACTCTGTCTATTGTTCAACCCATTCATCCAATCATTTGATTCTGTCTTCATTCTTTCCATTTACCCTACTATTCAGATCTCACAATCCTTCTACAGTTATGCAAGCCAACATCCAATAGATTGTCTAATTAATCACCTTGCTAATTTTAGTTCCTTGGCTATTATTCATTCGGTGAGTGAACTCATCACGGGTTTTTGCCAGAGAAAAAGATTTATTCTAAAGGCGACAGAAACCATTTCTGTTTATACTTTTAAATGCCAGCTAATCATATGAAAAAGATCAAAAGTAATGAAAATTTAAAATTCTCCCCACCACCTGTTTGCAAATTTAGAATTTAGTTCAATGCAATATACAAATCTGTGGCCTTACAGAATAAGCAAGATCTTTAGATTATCATTCATCTATCGAGGATTGCATATGAGTCCCTACAAGCATAGCTTTGAAAATATGATGAGTCATATTCCTATCTTGTAACATAAATATGCTATTGTATCATTTGATTAAAAAAAAATCCTTAATCATAAATTATTCTAAGAATTTGAAGGAAATCTTATGGAAAATTGGATGAAGTGAAAGAAAAGTAAAGAAAAATATTTGTTTATTTTTTCAAATATTTACCTGTATTTTTTTTTTCTTTCCTTTTTAATCAAATAATTGTTTAAAGAATTTAAAAAAAATAAGTTCTTGAATTTTTGTAAAAAAAAAAAAAATCAGGGTGTATAAAATTAATCTTTCAAAATTAAAATCATAATATCAGATTGAACTATCAAGTAAAAACAGGAAGAGAGAGAGAGAGAGAGAAGAAAAGAGCAAGGAAGAATGGAAGAAAAAGAGCAGAAGAAAGAATAGAAATAAGTGAAGTGAGTGAGAGAGGAAGAGAAACAGAAAAAGGAAGATAGAATGGAAAAAGAAAAGCAGATGAAATTGACAGAGGAAAAGAAATAGAGAGGCAAATAGTGAGGAGGTGCAGGCAAATAGGAAAAGAAGATGAGAGAATGGAAGAGAAAGAACAGAAGAGAGTGAGAGGAAAGAATAGAAACAGACAAAGATAGTGAGAAAGTGGGGAAAAGGTAGAAAAACAGGAAGAGTGACTGAAAGAGAAAGCATAGAAAGAG